CCCTGACTCAAACTGCTGGCCTCAGAACGATGATGAAAACATTTCTGTTGTTCTGAAGTCTCTAGGTTTGCAGTGACTTAAGAAGGCAGCTATCGATTCTCGGCCTTTTGGCTAAGATCAAGTGAAGAAGGCAGCTATCAGAAATGGGACTGCCAGCAAATGCTCCCAAGACTCAACACTGAAATCTATAAGATAGGGATGAGTGTGTTCCACATTGTTTCTCTACATTAGTGCTGACATGTGTCTCCAGGCTTTGTGATTTAAAAGGGAGTCATAAAGCAGCCAGAAATTACCACAGCAGCAATAGCATTGCTGATGCAAGTGTTTGGTGTCTTGTCTGAGAGCTTTCAAAGTGATCACAGCCAAGACTAGGAGGGAGGACAGTGCCAGGATCAGTCCAACCTTCTACAACTCTGAGTTAGTATTTACCAAGTCAATTAAATCTTCAAATTATAACAGAGGTAATTAGCACTTTGCTTTAAGAAAATGAAATATTCCAGTCTATTTTAATCATGTCTGTTCCATGCCTATGGGATATGAAGAGAAGTCTTCTCAAGATATATTCATGATCCTCAGAATGTTTCTGGAGGGTTTCTGAGTTGTGGGCTAATATAACTCTGGTACCCCCTTGTTATTGCCTAAGGTGCACCATGTGATTCAGAACCCCAGCATCTTTTCTTCCTAATTCGTCCTTTATCTCGAAGATAATCTCTCAGAATCCTGCTGATTTTAGGACAGACAGTTCCAGGTTCAGGGGGAAAAAATAGTAGCATCTTACCTTAACCAGAAACTCCTCAGTACAGTACAATGCCAAGCCAGACTCCATCAGATCTACCATTGAATTTCTGCTGGCTACTCCATAGCAAAGCTCAAAAGATACTCTTGGCTTGCTCAGTAAGAAGGGTCCTTCCTGAGCTGGAGGGAGACTGAGTCAGGCATTTACCAAGAGCCCTCCCTCCAATCTCACAAAAGTCAAAGTACAAGAAGCATCTTGGCACCCAGAAAGAGATCTGAGATGATCTGGGTTTCTTATGGCTCCAATCAGGGGAGCCAGCCATCTTGGCTCCCAGGACATGCTGAACATTCAGGTTAGGGCACTAAGTTAGGGGCTGGAAGAGAATGGAATTTGGAAACAGTGCCTTCATGTGGTGGTCATCCTAAAAATGATAATATTAACCTCCAGATGACCAATTTGCCAGCTATGTGATCCTGGTATGGTTATTTGACTTGGCTCAGACTTGAATCCCTCATTTGCAAAACAGGTTATAATAGCAACTCCCTTGTAGGGTAGCTTCAAGGATCAGCCAGAACCCTGTATGTATTCATTACTCGATGAATGACTTCCTTCTCCTTTCCTGATGAAATGCTGTACATATTCAACCTTTCTAATAAGGAGTCTCAACTATGTCATCTACAGCATCAACTGTTATATCGAAGACTGTGCTTTGGGAGGGAGGTTGGTTCGAGCAGGGCAAAAACCCTCAAAAGAGCCTTCATGGAAGAAGGAAATGTGCCAAGAAATGGCTAACTACCCCATTTACCCTGTCTGTTTCTGCAGACATTCACTGGAAGCCATGCCTGTCTGGCTTGTGACTCTCTTGGCTACCACAGCACATTGAGTCCCTGTCCTACAAGGCCAAAACTCTTCCTGACAACACCGGACACATCCCCAAACCCCATCCCACAGGCTCTGTTAAGCAGACCCTGGCAGTCTAGATGGCTCATGGCAGATGGTGCCATGTGGACTAATCAAGAAGTCAGACAAGAGAATCCTACCCCCTCTTCCATTTGCCAGGAAAAGCGATTGTTTGGATTTTAATCATGGCCACAGCTAAGAGCCAATGCACAGCCCCCTCCAGCCCAAAGATAAATTTTCCACTCTCAACATTCAATTCTTCCTCAAAAAATAGACCCCACCAGGGTGATTGCTCCCTAGGGAGGGTCTTCTTCATCCACCAATATTGTTTTTTTTCTGATTTAACACTATGACAGAAATAAAATACTGTTTGGATATGGTGGCACTCACACACTGACTCACTCTGCAAGGCATGTCTTCATTCCTCCATAAGTTACGTCTAGCTCACCGGTATATTGATCCCCGGCAAAGATGAATGCAGAATCCCATGATCCTCTGGGAGAAATGTGACATTTTCTCTAAATATATATCCACAGAACAACTGTTTCTAAATCTCCATGAAGCAGGTCACCGGGGCAGCACACCATTGATTTCCCATCCAACAATTTCTTAGAAAGAACGCTGAACATTTTCTCAATAATTCAGCCTCTACCAGACCTGACATCTTCTTGAGGGACACTGTCTCTGGCCTCCCCTACATTAAGGGGCAAGGATTGGAGGAGAACTAGATTCAAAAAGACAGACCTTGTGCCCCCAATCAATTTGAGGTCATTATGCTTTGTGGTTGTTTTAATGAGGTTTTAATGAGGCTTTGGGAAAGCCTCAGGCATTTAAAAACTTGGTCCCCAATTGGTGGCATTGAGAGAATTAGAAGGTATAACCTTGTATGGAGAGGTGTGTCGCTGGGGTAGGGTTAGGTTCCAAAAGGCCACTATCATGCCCAGTATGGTCTCTTGGCTTCCTGCTGTTACTCTAGTGCCATGGCTGCCTGCCTGCTGTCATGCTCTGAGCCATGTTGGTGATAGACGCCTATCCCTCCGGGGCTATAAGTACCAGATAAACCCTTCCTTTTATAAGTTGCATTGCTCGTGGTGGTTTTTTCTCAGAAACAGAAAACTAGTTAGTACATGCTTCATCTTCATTTTTAATTTGGCTGGATTTAGAATCACCTAGGTGACATACCTCTGGGTACATCTGTGAAGGAGTATGTAGATTGGGTTAATTGAGGAGATAAGATATGCCCTAAATGTGTCTGGCACCATTACATGGGTTAGGGTCCTGGGCTGGGTAAAAGGGGAACAGTAAGGGGGGGCACCGTCATTCATCTCTCTCTGCTTCCTCACCATAGAAACCTCCTCACATTCTGGCTGCCATGACTTCCTCGCCATGGTGGATGGTATCCTCTCGTGCTATAAGTTAACACAGACCCCTCCTCTCTTAAGTGTGCTTGTCAGTCTTACTTCTACCCTCTGTTCTGAAAAGGCAAGGTTGTAGCTTACCCATGCAACAGCAACGAAAAACGCAACTGAGACAGAGAGACACCTAGCAAAGACTCATAGCCACACAATTTTTGCAGAATATATTAAATAGGCTGAAAAACAGTGGAGGACAGGGAATCGCAGTGGTACAGGCTTTGAGTCTGCACAATTACTGTCACAGGGCCTGGAGCAAAGGAGTCATTTGGAAATCAGTGACAGTAATAATTGTAGTGGCCATGCCAACTTACCCCTAAGGTCCTCCATTAAGTTACATCAAGTTCAAGGTGGGAATATATAGAATACAGCAAGTACAGCAGCCCTGACATTAGAGGTCTGTGACATAGTCTGCTTGGGAGAATGTTTTATAAACAAGAATTTGTTTACCTTCCTTTAGCTATTATAAGAGGTTATTGGTGCCCATCTCGGTCTCAACCAAATGGAATTAAGGACTCCAATCACTAGGCCTACTAATGCCCACACCAGAATATCAGAGTAAAAGCCTGGCAGGGAAGTACACAAATCAAAGAAGAGAAAGGAATATGCAATAATATTGTCCATTTTTAGACTAGGTCTCACTGTGCAGCCGAGACTGACTAGCCTCTAACTCATGTATCTCAGGCTAAACTAAAACTATTGATCCTTCTGCCTTTACCTTCCAGGTACTGAGACAACCATGAATCCCAGTTAGCAACACCTTCAAAGTGACAATCTCTCTCTGTCGATCCCTGGGATGGCTTTGGAAAGGATCATGTGAACAGTCCAGCCACAACGACAAGGATAATACACAAAGCTGTCAAAGGTGGTAAGTTACTGGGAGGTAAGTAGTCTCATTTCCATCAGCTGGTCTGAAAAGCCAAGGTTATGATGTATCCATGGACATAGGTCTGGGCAGGTGAAAGAGGAGGTGAAAGGCCCAAAGCCACAGCAGAGGTCCAAGGTCATTGCTTCCTGATAAATGCTGTGATCACAGACAAGGAATTTGGATCTCAGTCACGAAGTAAAAAGGAACACATGAGCAGTCTCTCCAAAACTCAGATTCCCTAACGCCATCCATGCCTCAATTGCTTTTCAATGTATTCCTGGATTCATTCCCTCAACATAATACACTGTCCTTCATGCACAGAGATGACCCTGATGACTCACACAGTAACATGAGCTATTTTCTCCAGTCTCCAGCAGTGGTCATGAATTTGCCCTCATCCAGCCAACATCTGTTTGCACAAAATGGCTGGCTGGGGTAGGGGTGCATTGATCAACCTTGGAATGTAACAAAACTAAGAAGTCCACACCCAGATAAAATAAATATAAGCCCTCTCCCATGCTCAAAATGCCTCGACTTCAAGCCAAATAAGTTTGATAGGAGATTGTGAGTATTGTAAATGCCATGCAGTCTGAATCTGGAAAGTTATGCTCAAGTATACATTAGGCAAGTCCTTAGCAATGCAACTTTAGCTGATTCCTAAGTGGGTTTCTAGGGCTTAAAAATGCAGCAAATATCATGACTCTTATTGTGGTAAACCTAAGATCATGTAAGCAAAAGCACACCTAGAAAGCTACAAAGGTATGTATAGCAAATATCACTGATTGGGAATTGATTGGTATCTTTATTACAATGAATATTAAAATTATTACTGTTGATTACTTGCAGATCACAAAACCAAATAAAGAAAAGGAGATTCTGTCTTTTGAAACAGAGTCTGTTTAGATAAAGCACTGAAAGTCAAGTCCATGGATGGGGGTGGATCACTATCACTGAACATGGTATGCTCAATGCCATCCAACCCCAACAGCCCAGGCACCAGGAAGTTCCAATGCTTGACACTCTTTCCCACCCGACCATTACCAGCACTTGGCCACCTGGACAAAGTCTTCAATTCCGAACTTACAATTCCCGAAGACTCAGCGTCTGGAAGAGCTGCCAGGAGAGTGTGGTGAGCCGGTTGCTTGACAAGTTTCTGCAAAATTGACAAACAGAGGGGCAGTTAAAGGGCAGATTCAGCATCAGCAAAGCCCTCGGTGGAGGACTTGTTCATCTGGAGGCAGGCTTTAGAGTGCTTCTTTTTCTTCACCCTGTCCTGCTAGTGATGCATTGCTAATAGTTGAGACTATGGGACAGGTGTAAGGAAAAAAAGGCTTTACACATCCAAGAAACAATGTGGTTCTCTTGGCTACTCCTCATGCTGCCCTTTCATAGAAGCTCAGGCAGCCTGTTTGAAGCAACCTTCTCTAGACAACAATTTTGGGGATAACCAAACCCACGCATCCTTTACATCCACACAGGCAGGAAATCCTTGGGTTCCTTATAAATTCTTCTCACCCACCCCTCCCCAAGAACAAATGCCCATTCCAGAGATCAAGGCATCAGCCTTTTGTTCACACATCTCTTCTCCTAATGGCTATTTAATTGTTCTCATTAGGATGTACAGGGGAAGGGAGCAGCCATTAGTCTTCTGAATAAAAGAAAAAACACACCCACGGTTATTACTTTGCCGTGCTCAACAAACAACTTTTGATGTGTTAACAGCCCTTAAAGGCAGTAGTTCAGCACTGCTAGAAATGAAGTGGCAACCCAGGAACAATGTACTCATTTGCTGATGGGAATGGATGGCAGTGCTGGTTCCATTTAGATAAATATCCATACACACAAGAACATGTACATATTTGTATCTGTTAAACGTATAGGTAACTATGCAAACACAGACTCTTGTTTACATACACACACACACATGCACATACACACATGCACGCAGGCACACATGCTTCCATGTGCACTTGCATTTAGGTGACTTCTGCAGCAAGTAGAAGAGTCAAATATAGACTATGCTGAGGTCTGAAAAGTAGACCATTGACAAGAAAGATGGAAATTTGTCTTCAGATTACAAACGAATAAGCAGAAAGAATAGTATAAAAATGACAAGAGTAATTGGGAATGGGGCTACTTCACTTGGGTGCTTGGAAAAGAGCCTTATGAATAGTTAACATGGGACCTGGGGGGGGGGGGGGAAGGAATGATAATGAGCTGAGAACCAGGAAGAAACCCAACCAGAAAGGAGTTACAGAGACTGACGGAATAAGCAGGAGAAGGATTCATGCCACATTTGCAGACCTTGGGAGGAGACTGGCTTTGCTCCAAAGAGTAATAGGAAGCATTGGGTGATTCTTAGTGATGAAGTATCATGAACTAAATTCCATTTTTTAAATGGAAGACCAAGACTGGAAGATGACAGGCTAGTTAGGGGGATCTTACCTAGCTTCCAAGAAAGAAAGGGAAAAACAAAAAGAGGTAGATCACTAGGGAAATATACTACCTGTGGCCCCTTCTTGTAATACTGGCAGCCTTCTGTATATCAGGAAGTGAGCAGCCTTCCACACACCATTATAATGTGATGCCTAAAGACAGGAGACCGAGAGACCATGAACTCTCTGAAACCATCAGCCAAAATAACTTTTATGTCAAGTCTTTTGTCACACAACAAAAAAGTCACTAATATACTGGTGACCAGTGAGGCATTTAGTAAGATAAAAAGCTTACTAACAGATGACATTTGGGCAGTGAGGCCAAAATGGTCCTCTTGGATCAGATAACAAAGAAAAAAGGGCAAGGGAAGGGAATGGCAGATGGATATAATCAATTCATATGTTGTATGCATGTATGAAAATGTCACAATAAACCCATCATTTATAAAAGTGATAACCTATTAATAAAAGTTAGTGTATAAACAGAAGAGCTCCCACTAATTGTGAACATGAAGTTTGAGGTGCTGGTTAGATACCTAAAGAGTGAAACCAAATAGCCTGCTGGAGAGGTGTGTTTGTACTGAGACCTGTAGAATTTAAAATGTGCTCAGTGTGAAGCAGGAACAGATACTCAAACGTAAGAACAGAGGTAAGAAATAGGGCATCCCACTTTTCATTAGATGCATCCTATTTGTGATAAGATGGCTGGATCCTACACTGTCCTAAACAAGCTAACTTTCAAAGATAGTTTATGATGGTGTTGGTAAAGCAACCCAACTCTAAGGGTACAGGGGACTACTATTAAAAGGAATGAGACCACATGTAGGTATCTCCAAAGTCTCTGTTCTCTTCCCTGTGTTTATTGCTGTCTCTGTCCAAGACCTTGAACCCACAAAGAACGCTCCTGGATAACAAAATGGGCCCATGCAATCCCACAGCTCTCTGCAGATTTGAGAGTTCTGGTGTGATATCACATGTTCATTAAGAGTCGCCTTGAGCCATTCATTTATCACGTTCTGCTTCGCAAAACCCCTGTGACTTATTCCTACCAACTTCTACTATCACCCACCTATGAGAAGAACTGGGGCTACACAAGAACTGTACCAAGATCATCCAAGGTAACCCCCAGGGAACGCTCCCCAAAGCAAACGCTCCTGCTCAGCAGAATACAACAGTGAATTCAGGAAATCCCTGCAGAGTCGATGCCCCAGCACAACCAGAAGCCTTGGAGCTCAGAGGTTGGGATCAAAAGCCACAGGTTTCTGTGCCAGTCTCTGGGCCTTGATTGCCTTCAGCCTGTGTGATGTTGTAACAAGTCTGAGTGCTTGGACCACCCGGGTTGAAGCCTTTTTACTGTCTCTGTTTTTCCTGCTTGTTGTCTCTACACAACAGCATTCTTGGGAGTAAAACTTGAACGATGGGGGCTGAGGAGATAGTTCTGTCGGCAAAAATGTTTGCCATGCAAGCATAAGGACCTGAGATGCCCAAAATGGACATTAAAAAGTCAGGTATGGCAGAACAAGCGTGTAACCCAAGCACTGGGGGATAGAAATAGGTAGATCCCTGGGGCCTGCCCGCCAGATAGCCTCTCCAAATCATAGAACTCCAGATTCCAATAAGAGATTGTATTCCCCCCAATAAAAACAGTACATATGACTCCTAAACAATGAGACCTCTGGCATTCACCTATTTGTATACACATGTACACACACACACACACACACACACACACACACACACACACACACACTTCCAAACTCACAAGGGAATCCTGGCAGAAATTTGCAAAGATTCCCAGCCGGCACCTCTAGCTCCTAGCATTCTTCAGTGCTCCATTGAACACAACCGATGCTTCAAACGCTGAGCACTGGCAGCCTGCAGGGACCTCATGCTTACAGAGCCTGACGCTCACAAAGTCTGGAGGAGCACGCTCCTGATAAAGCACACCTCTGGTAAAAGATGCCACTGGTAGGAACAAGCCATCCTGGAGGCAGGACTGGCCCAGGTGCACTGGGCAGCCTGGCTCCTTTCCAAGAAAGGAACAGGCAGAGAGCCTTCCAGGAGTTCTGGGGAGCCCCAGGCAGAAAGCAGGCTGCCAGCCACGTCCTCTTACAAAGGTCATGCTTTGCTACATCAGGCAGAAATGTCAAGAGAAAATTGGATTCTGAAAGAAAGAAAATCATAGGCACTCTGGGCAAATAAAGAAGAAGAAATAGCATTATTCCCTCCTTATTACAAGGGGAAGGCGGCTAGGGGCCTGGGACACCACTGAGGAGTGAGCTTCTGTTCTTCCACAGGGGAGCAGCTTCATCTCCAGCCCAGCCACTCCTCCTCCAACCACCCAGCCCCACCTGGAGGCTTCGTGAGATGTCTCAAGCGCATTATGAAGTGGCCACTGCAGCATTCATACACTCTGTCCACACACATAGACACCCTCACATACGTTTCCAGATACAAGGGCACTGCTGCAGATGTCCCAGCAAATGTGCAGTGTGTAACCTGTGTAGCTGGGCCCAGTGCACGGCCCTGGACACACAAAAGAAGCATCCAGGTCCAGAGACAAACGTACACTCCACAAACTCAAGCAGGGCGTGCCTCTGGCCATCCTGCCCTGTTGGGTGTTTCTATATTCCCATGCAACAGGAGAGATAGGAAAGCTGAGGTCTGGGGTTTTGATGGGTATTAGCACCCAGATGGGCAAAACTGACTGGCCCAGTTTTCCTTCCTGCTGACACCTCACCTGTATCCATCTGTCAGCAGTTATTGATGATCTGATTATGCTGCTCATCAGACAAGACTTTAATTAAGAGTCACCCTGCTTCGGGGCCCCAGGCAGCCTCCTCCCGGTACCTCCTCCCTAGAAGATCTATTGTCACCTGCCTCTGACATTTACTTGGGTCATTGGCTAGTATCCAAGTCACTGACCATCAAAGCAGTTTGGTAAGTAAGATTTTACAAAATGAAGCATCACTTTCACAAATCAATCTCTCTCTCTCTCTCTCTCTCTCTCTCTCTCTCTCTCTCTCTGTCTCATATCTGAGACTCCCAAGCAAAGCCATTAATTTTGTCCTGCACAACTGGCTGTCTCCCAGCCAGACTCTGGGGTCCAGAAGTAATAAACAGTAATGATGGGAGATAGACACACATATGGCCACACTCTGGACCCAGTGGAGAGCCAGGGCTGAGATGGCCCTCCCTGAATTAACTATGCAGGAAACAGGGATCCTCTGAGGCAATGTGCCACTCTGTCTGGTAGACAGGTCCCCTGGTGAAGCAGCCTATGGGCCTTCCTAAGGGAAGTACCCATCATTATTTAGCAGGAGTGGAGAAAACCTGTTACCCTATAAAGCGCCAGCAAGATGATGGACCCTGCTACAAGAAACCAAGCAGAGGAGCTTTTCTGCAGCCCTTAATGCTTGGGCACTGAGACTTGAAAAGGAAGCAGTAAGATCCATCAACAGAGATACTAAAGACAGAGGCCGGTGGATTTCCTGAGCTAAGAACGGGACTAACTTTTAGAAGCAGTTCTTCTACTGGCAGACACACTCAGTGAGCAGTATGTCTCACTGTCCCACTGTGTGGGGTACAGCTGTGGACACTATCTGTCTTCTTTGTGCTATTAAACCATTCCGTTCCACTCATGCATCACTCACCTAGCCAACCACTTACATGCACACGTCAACATCACAGACCCATCTGATGGCTTCCGTTCCAACTC